ACTCGCAAATGAATGCGGCCGAGGCGTATACATTTCAACTGCACTGTGAGTGCATTCACAGTGCCGTTGGAAATTCTTCGCTCAGCTGCTTATGAATGCATTCCCAGATAGGACTTTTGGGTACTTCAACACAGTTGGAAAATCATTTAAATATGCTGGCATTTGCTTTTGCTAGCTGGATTTTCCTTTTCAAAATGTTGAATTTTAGGAAATTATTAAAAATTAATAAGTAAAAGTAAGAAGATAAAGTAAAATGTAATAAGAAGTATGCAGACTAATCCCTAAATTGAAATTATTAAAGCTCTAAACTTAACTTTATATTTGCTTTATTAATCTTCACGCAATTTACTGCCTAGAAATGTGATCTGACTTGAAAATTAAACTGTTTATTTATTTATTTTGAAACTTTAGTGCTAAGCTATTTAATATTTAATATTTAGATTTAGTTTTACTTTCATTCCTATTTATTTATTAATTTATCGAGCAACTATCTCAGCTTCCTAATCACTAAGCCCCGTATTCATTAACTTTAAACAGCCGAAAAACAAAGGCCAAGAAACGGTCATGGAGACGTGCAAATTGCGATTGACGTGAATGGCCATTCGGAATGATTGCCCCATGGGTCTCTCGGCAATTTGCATATGCTCAGACACGCACTCACATTCCAATTGGAGAATCGAGAATGGAGTGCCGGTGGGGGAATCCCCTGGCCGAAATGAAACCTCCCATTGGACGATGGCCTTAGTCCTGCATTTGCACGTGTCTTGGACATAAAATTCGATGCCCCGTTCTCTGCCTCTCCGCTTTTCCACTTTTCCGCTTTTCCAGCTGATTCAGCAAACGAAAGTCCGATTGGAGGCGAGCGTCATTTGCAGCAATTGCAGAATGTATCTTTCGGATGCGAATGTATCTTTTGTGCCCGTTTATGCCCCCAGTAATTGTTATGAACTTCATTCCGGATCGTTGGCATCTGTGTGCGTGCCTGGATTTCTTTGGGGGGTGGTAATGGGTGGTGATGACTGTTTATTTTCGGTGGCCTAGTGTGGGTGTACATCATGGGGAGGGGGGGGCTGGTGCTTGGTGTCAAAAGGAGGCCTTTCGGCAAATTGCTTTGATAATTGTTAACATCTCATGCGCGGCAACTTAAGCTGTTCCTACCATTCTCAAAGGGGGGGATGGCTGGGGCAGGGGGTGTAGCATCATTTGGGGCGGTGATGGTAATCTGGGCGTGGCACTTTACACGGCAACTTGTTATTTTGTGGTTGACTAATTGCATGTGTGTGCAAAAGGAGTCCCACTCCAAAATCATTGTTCCTGCTAAGAATGGCGAGAAAAGGGGTAGAAAAGGGTAGGGAAAAGAGGGGGGGGGGTGGAGGGAGGCTATGGTCACTGCAGAACATGGCAACATGAGCAGCAGGATCAGAGTCAGACCCCAAACCGGGAGCCACTTGCTCAGTGCCGACACGAGATTTATGCTGCCAGTGATATGCCCAAACAGCAGGCAGGATGTGCACTGGAAAAAAATGTTTAATGGGGATTAATGAAAGGAACTAACAAATAATTGTTTATGATATTGAAATGTTTAATAAGCTGTCTTTAAGAAACTTTAAAATGAAAGGAAAATATGGCTGAAATTATGATTTTGACTGTTTTTTAGTCGAATTCCTAAAAGTGAAAATTTGTTTTTATTTTTCTCATAATTTTCGCCGCTTCAACGCAGTTTGATTTTATTTTCATTTCCAGTTGCTGTCTTCTGAAAAGAACTTTCCGTCTTTTACCTAACTATTTCAATTTACAAAAAATAAAAAATCAATAAAAATCAAAAAAGCTAAAAGCAAGTAGAAAAACCTTACAAAAATGTTTTTACTTTTTCCCTTTAAATTCTTATTTAAATTATTTTTAAAACTAGTTTTCTTTGAAAAAACGAAACTTATTTTTAAATATATTATTCGTCGAGCTAAATGGAATTATTTCCTATTTTTGAAACAGTTTTTTATTCCCTCAGTGCTGGGAAGTTTTCAGGGGCCTTCCGAAAATCCAATGCGCTTTTCAGCAACCGAGAACTAAATCAACGGCATCCCAGTGCTAGCTCGTGTTCGTCGGGATGGGTAAAAGAGAGAGATGGGTGCAGGGGAAAGGGGGAGATGGGGGTGTGGCACTTCCTGGTTTGGCCGGTGAGCAGACAGTGCGTATGCGTGATGCTCGGGACGGGGCTCTAAAATATACTTTGCCAGCGCCCGGGTTATGGTTTTTGCGGTTGCATTTTGCAATTTTGCAAATGATAAAGTGATCCAGGCGAAGGCAACATGGCAGGCAGCAGTACCACCCACCCAGCACCCACCACCACCCCGACTTTGGTGGGTGTCAGCGGCAATGGTTCAAGTGGTCACAGCATGACCACCGCCCAAAGATGAATGAGCCATTGGCCACAATGCAATGGAAACTGTTGCTACACGACTGCAGTTGAAGCCGTAGCTGTTTTCATGGGGGGGTGGCGGGTTTTCTGCTCCGTTTCCGTTAGAGGAGTGGGTGGTACTGGTGCTGGTACTGATGCTGGGGGGGGAGGGAGTGGTGCGGTGGGTGGTGGAGCGGGCACAAACACCGCACATAAAACAATCAGCCGGCGACCACAGGCTGACACGAAACGCCGGAAGGAGCAGCAAAATGAAGTCACAGCACCAGGAACCAGGAACAGAGTCCGAATCATGAAAGGAGCAGAAGGATAATGGAAAGGACGATGAGGAGAAGAAGAGCAATGGAACAGTGGAACTCCTCCCATAGACAGGGACAAAGCGGCGGACACAATTCATACATGAGTGCATTCATTTGCCGGCCTTCTAATCAGTTTATTTGCCACTGGGGGAAAGTGATTGGAAGTTGTTGCGCTCAATTACAGTTAATGTGCCGACGGTCGATGGTTGAGTTTCTACTATCGATTCATTCACAGCGAGTGTTTACTGTAATGCATGATGCCATGGATTGCGGAAAGTGGGCGAAAATAAACATAATTAATTGGCTGATAATAAACGACAGGCCCGTTTAAATCGATTAAAATTGGTAGCTCACGTTTAAGGCCATACAAGCATTATTTATTAGAAGACAATAATTGTTTTGAAAGGGTAGATGTCGATGTTAATGTTTTTGCAATGATTAAGGGCTATTAGTTAATCGTGATTTTGCCTAAATAAAACGTTAATGTTAGTTAAGTCAAAGTAATGAGTGAAAATGGTCCCAAAAAGGGGAGAATAACATCAAAAGTTGAAAATGTTTTCTATTTTTAGAGTTAAATCGAAAGAATATTGAACCGATTGAAATTTTAACTCCAAACTGTGTAAGATTTCCTTCAAATTCTGATTTTCAAAACCTTTAATTGGATCTAAGTTTGTTATAGATTTTCGTTTCTTAAAACATTGAAGTGACCCACAATTAAGGGCGTGATAAGGCTTCAACTTTGAGCTTTCTTTCTTATTATCTTATACAGTGTGGCCCACGAAAGATTTGCGTTTTATAAAAGATCGATTGTGACGTTGGCTAAATATCTGACACATTGACAAAGACATTCGAAATGGCAAAGTCAAAAAGCAAACGCTACATGGGCCACCCTCTAAATATTATATATTCTATACAAGTAGTTAGTTACTTTCTTATGTAAATCCCCTATTGGGCTAAAAGTTCTTATATTCCGGGTAATGGAAGTCAGTTTACTGATGATTACAAAAAAAGTTGTATAATAATATTATAATTTTTCTAACATTACTTAACCATTAAACAAAATCAACTCAATTTAGCACTGCCAACCTCCGGTATGCCAGTTTTTTAAGACACTTTCCTGTAATAAACTTCCATCAGTATGCCATAAAAATCAATATAAGTAAAGCAAACCAACGTTTAAAACAAAACCACTCTAACTCTACACAAAAATGTAATATAGATAAATAAATATAGACATTACTTTAATTAGCTGTAAAATGAGTAATTAAACTAACCTTTTTGATTCATATTAACTTTAAATCAATGTAAATCATTGCTTACAGAATCCGAAATCCGAATATTATTATTATTATTATAAAAGGTAGAAAAGTTTACAAAACTAGACTAGCTTAATGATATAGCGCTGGCTACTGCGTCCTTCGTCTATGTGAGTTGTTGGTGCTTAAGTCTTAAGGGATGACATGTTGTGTCTTAACATAATATATAATCGTTATCTATTTATTCAGTTAGGCAACTAGTCTTATTAAATGTTTATATTTAGATTTTGTGGTATAATTGTGTTGATTTTAGGAAAAGTAGAATTTTATTAATGTTTTCTGGTCTTAGGTCATTGAGGAGATGTAGCGGGTTGGAGTTCTGGAAGATGGTTTGCTTTGTTTGCAAGAGAGGTGGACATGTGTTTAGTGTGTGGTGTAGGGAGAGGTTGCCTTGACAGAAAGGGCAAGGTGGTGTTGGAATTTGGTTCAGATAGTGTTGGTGGGTGAGGCTGGTGTGTCCTAGACGTAGTCGGGTAATTTTAGTTTGGTCGAGTCGAGTCTATTCCAGTTTGGGTGGGTTTGTCTAAAATGGTCGCTAATATGGTTATGGCTATTGGTGTTGATGGATTGGTACCAAATCCGAATAAGTTCAATATAATGCGTTATTTTTCCTTTTTTTTTAGAGAGAAATTACAATTGCAAAAGTCAGAAGTCAACAGAGAAGAGCTAGTAACAAGATCCACAACTGACTGAGTTCCTTTTCCAATAGTCACTAACATAAAAAGGACTCACAACGGAAAACAAGGCTGGCCGTCGGAATGACACTCCGAGTAAGGAGCTGGGACAGCATCAAGTGCATCATCAATCTCGGCGGCATTTCTAGAGAATTTCCATTAAATATGAGGCTGCCATCGCCAAATACATTCAATATGATGGCCTATCAACCTTCAGTTTTATGGAATAACTACAAAAACTTGCAAATTTGATTAACAATTTTCCTGGAAAACCCAAACGGAACGAATCAAAAGACAATTTTTGGTGTCAATGTTACAATAATTTGCATTTCGCGATTACACAGATTTGAGTTGAGTCAATTACAGAAGAAAAAAAAAACAGTGTGGGAATAAACATGTGTGTCCTTCTTGTCCAAACTAGGATACGGAGGAGGAGGAGGAGGTGTCCTACAACTTGCTCTTGATGTTGCGCAGGATGGGGAACTTGTCGTGGCCAGTGCAGCCGCCGCGGAAGTCATCGAAGCTCAGATCGACGACGGCGATGCCGCCGAGTCCTTCGCGCTTTACATACTCGGCCTTGATGGCCGCCGTATCGGGATCCTCGTAGCCCACCCACACGCCGTTCTCACCACTGTCATCGGCGGAGCGGTAGGCATAGCTGCCGAAACGCTTGGTCGGATCGCCCACCTTGCGGAGGGGACCATCGGCGCCCTTCAGATGCTGGTTAGCAGGATTGGGCAGCTTGGCGCATACCTCAGGCCAGCTAAGGAGTCCGGGGATCTGGGTCTGAGTTCCGGCAGGAGCCACGCCATCAGCCTCGGCCACTGGCGGCAGTCCGGTTAGTCCAGAGTCCTTGGTCAGCTTCCAGGCACGGCCGTAGGTGGCAACGCCCACGTTGATCTTGGCAGCAGGAGCACGGTTTCCGGTCCAGTACCTCACCTGGTAGTTGATGTTGAACTCAGGGTTGCGCTCGTTTAGCTCGTAGATCGGAGCCGGGAAGTCGGCCACCTCGTTGTTGCGTTCCGGGGTCTGGAAGTCGTAGGTGTGCAGGTTCACGTAGTCCAAGTTGTTGATGATGGCAGGGACATCAAAGAAAACTAAATTTTAAAATGAAAAATCAATTTAAAATGTTAAAAAATAATTCAAATATTTTTTAAGTTTCTACTTACGGGAGGAGTTGACATTGGGCAGGACACTGAGACCCAGGATGTAGCCATCGGGACGGAAGGCGTTCTTCAGTTCGCGAACCAAGGCGGTGAAGGCCTCCTTGTGCTCCTCGGCCTTCTCGTCGACCACATGATCACCGCTGAAGATCTTCTTGAAACCCTTCCAGAACTTGCCGATGCTGCCATGGACCTTCTTTGGCTTATTCTTAGGGAACTGCCAGCCCAGATCGAGACCATCGAAGCCGTAGGTCTTCACCAGGGAGTGGGCACTGTTGATGAACGGAATCCTGGCATTGCTGCTCTCCAGCAGAGTCAGGTACTTGTTGTTCTCTGGGTCCACGGTGTCCTTGTCGCCACCCACGCTGAGGAGGACCTTCAGGCCTGGGTACTTGCTCTTCAAGCCCGTCACCTGGCGGAACAGACTGCTGCCCAGGTCCAAGTCCAGTTTCTCGTTGGTGCTGACCAACTTGTTGCTGGAGGGGTTAATGCCGGCATATCCGTAGATCAGGTGGGTGCAGTACTGGAGGGCGGGCTGCAGGTCGTTCAGGGTCAGCTTGGAGAGGCCTAAGAAAGGATTTTATTTTATGATTAATAACTAAATTGAAGTGACAAATCCATTAAATCAGTCACTAAACTAATAAAAAACATAAGGAAAAGGTTTAAGTGACAGGAAGTATATAGGAAGTCATAAAGTCTGGAAAAGTCATGAACTGAGCTCGAAAACAACTAAATTTAAGTTAATTCCCCAACGGCAACAAATAACAACTTGAGTGCGCTAAAAAAAAAAAAAACTGAGTTTGCATCATCAATTAGCGCCTTGGAGGTGGCACCTCTGGACATGAGTCACTGCCAGCAGTCGAACACCCGATACCCGATGCCAATTTCAATTAGCCCAACTGTGGGCCTTTGTGTGGGCCCTCCTCTCCATATTGCAATTTACTCAAATTGGTTGCTAAACATCCCCTCTGATCTTGTGACCCGTTGCCAATTATCAGCGCCATAGAAAAAGTACTCAGTTTTATGCTTTTAGCATGTGCCTATGAAAAGTGAAAATCATCTAATTGAATTCACTTCGAGAGCTTTCTATCTTTAGTTTTTAAAAATATATATAAGAGTATGTTATGCCCACCGATAACCCCGATTCTTATCAGCTATATGGCGAAGATCGAACTGGAAGTGGGACTTACCCTCGCGGACGAAACTGTTGCCGTCGTAGTAGCACAGCAGATGATGGGATCCGGCAGCGGAGATCTGACCAATGGCCAGAGATCCCACCAGAAGGGAGAACAAGGCGTAGAGCTTCATAGCTGTAAATAACAAAAGAGAAATGCAAAAATAAAGTAACTGTAAACTGTGGGTAGCTTCTAGTGGATTTTAGCTTTTTTGGCTATTTTTTGGCTAGATTATCAGACTTAGCTTGGCAGCAGAATTATTTTTGTAATAACAAAACTATATTAAATATTTAACATTAAACAAACTCTAGTTTAAGGAGTACATTTAATAGATTGTTTTTGATGAAAGGCTTAGTATATATTAGAGAAAACTAAATGGAAAAACAAACACAATAACTGCTTAAAATTTGTAGGAACTTTTTAACAAAATGTTTATAGATTAAGAGGAATTTCCGAAGGAAGTTGTACTTAAGTACTGAAATTAAATAAAAAATATATCTAACAACCATCAACAAATTATGATTCTTAGAAGCCGATTATCAAAAACGTATATCAAAGATGTTATAGTTCCAGTTCCAGGCCATAAAAAGTAGCCACAAAAAACACAAATCACAGAAAAAAAAACAGAATATTGGAACGACTCCACTGACTTGATGTGCTCGCATTAAACGTAAAACTGAAACTGCCCGCCCGGTGGAGGTGAGCCAAACTTTAAGTGAACTCGCTGAGAATGAGAAACTGGGGAAGACGCGAGAAGAGAGGCCGCCAAAGGTGGCGAGGCAGAGGAGGCGGCGAGGAAGAGCGCGGGCAAAGCGAACGCAGCGAGAATAAAGTCGGCTTGAAAATGAAATCGGAGCAAAAAGACGGGGATCGGGGGGTGTCTACGAATATACATATATAGGCAGATAGAGAACATTGGCAAACAAAAACAAAAAAATTAGAAATAAGCCAAGCAAAGCTGCGAAACGAGGGGCGATTCATAAGTAGATATTTCGAGAAACGATAATGATCTCGACGAGAGATGAATTTTAAGACATTTTCTGATCACAATGTAAACAACCTTCAATTTGTTTTGGGTTAAATGATTATCCAAAGTTAATCACTTATTTAAGATCACTTCAGATCTCAAGATCTTAAGTTTAGTTAAGACTGTTAGCTAAGAGCTTAGTGATTGTTCATCAAGTGGATAAAAACTGTTTTTGAATTGATCAATACTAGTTTGTAGTTCTAAGTTGTAAGTAAGTAAAAGTATAGTATAGTCTATAATATATAAGAAATCTATAAGTTTAGTCATTAACTTACTTTGATGTTTAGTTACATTTTCCTAGCAATAATTGAAAGGCCTATAACCATGTTCTACCCTTAATCTTACTGAATACTTTGTAAATATCTACAAGGGGCCTGAACTAAGTATATATATAGTTTGATTTATTTTCATTAATTTATAAGAAACTTTCATTAGAATAGCCTGTTATCTCCTTTTCCAGTCCGCAATTAAGTCTAGCCTGGCCGCATAAACTTTTCCAACCCCGCCAAGTTACTTAGTTGATCTGCTCTCGTTTTTGATTTTTACTATTAAGTGATTAAGAGTGTGTCATTGTTGTAATGTGTTTGTGTTTTTTTTTGTAATTTATTTATTACCCAGAGCCAGAGCCAGAGTCAGAGCCTGTTTTGTAGCCCCCCCACCATGCCCCCCTGTGATGTCATCGTTACCGGGAATCGCTCGAGCAATTATACAATCAGGCCAACGCGTCGGGGCATTATTAAACCTATAGTGTACGAGTCTATATATATGTATATACGAGTATATCCCCATTAAAGCGACAGCGGCTTTATTTGTTTATTTTTCACTTTTCGATGGAGGATAAGTTCCCAAAAAGCGAAATAAAATATTATATCGTGAATATAAATCGCAAATTGACAAAGTAAACTTGACTACCACAACGCCAGCGCCTGGCCTTTGCTCTATTAATTTGTGTAAAAATTGATTTTAATAAATAAACACTTTGGTCGTTGGTCGCTGGTCGTTTTTCGATTTTCAGACTTGGTTTTCGGCTTGGCTCCGTTGTCGCACGGTTCTCAAATGTTTACTCATGGCATCGGCAATCGGGCGACTTTATCAATTTATGTCAGCGGCCTCAGAGGTCAAACATACACACAGATAGATAGATGATAGAGACCCCGATTTGGGTCCGTCTCTTGTCTCATATTTAGTTTTAATTTGCTGCCCCATCTCCTCGGATTTTAGTTTCAAGGGACTTGCCCGGGGATTTTCACTGGCTTGGTGGCTTAGCTTTGGGTTTGGCTTTTTGGGTTGGGCCTGCTGCTAATGGGTTGAGTGGCTGGCTGACTGAATGTCAACGGCGATGAGATCTCGGAATTATGGAATTGCTTACTCAATGACAACACTGTGTTTCTTTTTTTTTTTTTTTTGACAAAATCCGATTTACACCCATCAAGGGCACTTCAGTTTGCCGCTTTCATGGATACTCCCCGGGGAATGTTTCATTTCGCACTATATACGATATTTAATTTACTCAATTTACATTGCTGCCCGAGAGTATGCAGCATTTTTGGATCGGAATTTGTCAGAATTTATGAAATCATAAAGGGCTGTCTTTTGAATGATTTCCAATGGCAGATGTTTGGATATCCTTTCTTTTCTGGTGTAAGGAATGTAATATAGTAATCAAAAGTATTTGAAAAAGTTGGTTAAAACTTTCCAACTAGATTGCCAGACGCCACACAGAGCATATAAAGGCTTACCACCTTTCATATTAACTAGTTAACTTGCAGGGTAGTTACACGTTTAACTATAGAAGGCAAGAGCATAATAATGCATAAACAAATGAATTAATTGTCCAAACTATTCTATGGCCCTCCTCAGGCAGCTTCCATGTAAAAACAGGCCCACATAGAAACCAATTTATTTGCCACGCAAATTCGCAAACAAAGTGCAGAGTCGGATATATATATATCTGGTATGATAGTATATATATTCCGGTATTTGGTGCACATATTTGAAATTGTAATTAAAACCACCTTAATCAAGTGCTACGTGGGCGTGGGGGGCGAAGGGCGTGCCAGGTCAAACAAACAATAATTAAGTAACGAAAATACTGCCTTCTGCAAATAACAAAAAAAAAAAAAATGAACCCAGAGAGGCGACAATGAGCAATGATTTAACAATAAAATCGAATAAAAGGTTGGAGGAGGGGGGGCGATTGAATGAATTTTATTTATTTTTATTATTAAACGTGTAATCAGTGAGAAGTAAACAATTAAAAATGTTGATTTCACGCGCTCGGAATTGGAGTTTTATTTTTATTTCACGCCAGCTCATTCCCTCTTTTTGCACTTTTGCGGGAAATGTCTGTGTTTGTGGGTGTGTGTGTGTGTGTGTGTGTGTGTAATTTAAACCAATTAAACACTCGCCAAATAAACAAGCAGCAACAAATTCCCCTCGCCACACCACACCACACCTTTTTCACCCCCTCCAGCATTCCCCCGACCATTGCCCAGCCCGGGAAAATGCCATGTTAAGTATGATTTACAAAATGGCTGCGTGCCACAGAAATAAAGCCAACTGAAATGGCGAAAAAATGCACCATAAATAAATTTAATACGCAAATAAAAGGAGCGAAAACGATAATCAATGACCGGCGATAAATGAAAAATGAAACAAAAAATGCCGCGTAAAATGAACAGGAAAAGCCACAAAGGAAACTCGAGCAACAATTGAGAAAAGAAACACGAGACTCTATCGAACAGAAGCAATGTAAACCTTTGCATCAAAGGGCTGACAAAATAAACTGCAAAAAGATATAAAAAAAATAATAAAACGTCACAAACTGAAACCAAATCCTGGGCAGAAAATGTATTTAAACGGGTTTTCTTTTTTTTTTATTTAAATTTTTGCATTCTCATTAGTTAATGACAGCCTAGAAACGAAGTTTTAAATCAGAGAATTACAGCTGGTAGAGGTAGTTACTTCTATTAATCATTTTCGCACACTTCTCATTATTTAATAATAAAACCTTAACATCCTTCCTCTTCCCCTAATTTGAGTAATAAAAATATTACATTTTTAATTCGCTTGCATTTGTGGGTTTGTCATAAATCGATTAATTAATGTTCTGTCCGTGGTTGTTAATTTTCCACTTTTTTTCTGTTTTTATTTGCTCTAATTAAATGTGCAGCATATTTGAAATGTCCGGCTCTGGCATTGAAATTAATCGTTTCTTTCCCCCCATTTTTGTTGCATTATTATTTATATTTTCGCAGCGATTTTTCAGGGCTTTATTTTTGTTTTTATTCTTGCAGTTTTGCGTTTTTTGCATTTCTCCATTTGTACTTTCAGAAGTCGACAGAAATATCGACTTGGAATTACAGGCGTTGTTGTTGTTGGCTTGGCTCTGTCATAAATCCAACGACAAAATAAAAATTGCATAAGGAATAAGAATACGAAAAAATGGACGGCAAAGAAAACACACAAAAAATTGCAAATAAAATTACGTGAAACAGACGCAGACGACGCTGGCGACAGCAGTCGGAAAAACACACATATATATATAAGGATATATAGTTATATATATATATTCAGGACATTGGGTATATATTCGTTTATGTATTTTGCATGTCGCCTAACTTATATTTGTTTGTTTCGCTTCTCTCGCCTCATTTTGTGCGCTTTTTTGTGACGTTTCGGGATCATTGCATGGCTGAAAGGCAGGCGGCAAGGGGTTAAGGCGCGGAGGTGGGCGGCAGAACTTGGGCCTGGCATAAAGTCAATGATGCACAAAACTACGAGCACCAGCAGTGGCAACAATGAAAGCGCCTGGAGATCTCCTTTTCGGCTAGAACGAACTGTGAATTACCTTTAGGGGTCTGTTTTTTTCAGTTTTAAGCAAAATTAAAATATATTTTACAATTTTGTATTAATACTTTTATGAAAATATTGCATAAAAATAACATAGATTATGTGTTAAATTATTTTAAATAGCAAAACTTAATATTTAACCTTTATTAATAAATATAAAAATATTTTCTTTTCACTTTTAAGAAAATCGCATAAAAATTAAAACTCACAAACCTACTCGATCGGTGTCTTAGGGTATCGCCTCAAAGGATATAGCATCTGCATATGAGCAGAGAGAGACGCCGAACGGAGGCAGCTTCGCCCGAATGTTCTGGGCACGTGCACATTGCGCATACGCCCCATCGCACCGGGGGGAATGGCGGGGAAATTGCTTTATCATATATGAATATATATATATATATATATATAAATAACTGGAAAATATTGTTTAATGCCTGGGCCGCAACGCACAATGGATCGGGTGTGGGATAATGGATTAGCCGGGATCTGAAATCTGGAAAACAGAATCTTGAGACCGGAACCCCCACTGAATGTCAATGGCTGGTCCTTAAGCAATTTTGATCGATGACTTGGTCGCTGGCTCACGCACTAAACTGATTGACTGACTGCCTGCATCAGCGATTGACTGACTGACTGAGTGACTTACTGACTGACTGATGGACCGACGGGCACAGGGCTAACAAATGATGTTGGCAACCCGGCCAAGACAAAGGCTCCTTCGGTCATATCTCAGCTACAGCCACTGAATTATGGTAAGAGCGAAAAACTTTTGTGCCCAGATTGCCTTTGCCTTTGCCTTTCAAGGGGGGGGCCGGGACAGTGGGTCAGTGGATAGCACGCATAGATAAGCAGCGATG